TAAGTAGTTTTGAGGGTTCGGGATCCCTTGTTGGAACCCCCCCCCCCCCCCAAACTCACACTTCAATGTTGGGCATAATGGTATTAATGTAAAATATACTCACACATCTATAGTCCGTATTATGGATACTTGTAGTGAGAGATAAATGAGGGAGTGAAGAAAATGTAACCTCTAAATCTAATATATAATGAAATGTCATAATTTTGATTGATTAAAACATACATAATTTACACACTGAAAATGATAAATCATTATGCTAATTAGTGACCATCAACGAGAGTGCTAAACTACACAATTATTATGTCAATGGGTCAAGAATAAAAAATCTTGTTGAAGGGACCTCCTAGTGACCTAGTCCATAGCCCCTAACTTCAATTTAGCCTACTGTTCTTTAAGAGAGATTAAAATTTACATGTGCCATAACCTGCAAAAAAGAACGCATAAATTAGTTCAATGAAAACCAGATTTAGGAATTGAAGCAAGATCTTAAGCTTAAGCTTGATTACATCGAAATCACGAAGATTACAACTCAAGTCTATTAGTATGCAAGGTGTGCTTGCACATCAAAAGACAGAACACTCAAAGGTAGCAAATCTTTGATGTAATAGCATGTTTAAGGCCTTGTTCAAGTCAATTGTAAAAGTTAATTTCACTCAGTAGGTTGGCAGCTGGCTAAATATGACAAGTAAACTAGTAAATCGATCATACATTAGTCTTGATTAACAACTAAACTATGCTTAAATCGATTTTAATCATTAATATTTCAGTTCAGCAAAAAAAAAAAGGGCCGTTGATATGAGAGTATGAGACCTAAAACTTAGATCAATCTACATGTCATTGAGAATCTTCAGGTTAGGCTTTTCGAAATCAGGAGTTGAAACATGTAATTATCAATTAGCACATAAAATATGTATAGAGGAGCCTTAATACTTACTTGGATTCTGGTTGGAGATAACAGCAGTCTGGGAGAAGTCGCACTGGTAGGGCTGGCGACCCTTGATCTGGTAAAATGTGTTCATGGCATATGTCGCGTGAGACCTAACATTGTTTGGGTTGTAACATGCACCTCCTGGTTGAATGGGTTTGCAGTCAACACCTTGGCTGCAGACATAGTTGATGTTGGACTGCAGTTGTGCATCAGTGGCCTGTTGTTTAGGCACACACCATCCTTTAGCAGGGCCAGGTCTAGCAGGAGTAGTCGACTTTGGTGGTCCTACACTAGGACGCGTCTGAGACTGCAAGCCAAGGAAACACCAAATATTTAGATCATAATGCTATATTACGACTCAAAACTATAAATAATATTAGTGGACCAATTCAACCAAAAGCTTAAGCATAAAAATAGCTAGGAAGAAAACATTACTGATGAATTACATACCTTTTGTCCATTCCTCAGAACACCAATGTCGTAGACAGGGGTGAAGTCGGGCCTAAACAAACCAAAGTTCCTCTCAGCAACAGGTCCAGGCTTCTGATTTTCAGTAAACAACCCGAAAATGTAAGTCTCGAACTTCCTGCCAGGCATCAAAGGAGTTCCTTTCCCCGAGTTGACAGCCATAACCAGTCTCGAGTTAAAGGTTTGAGCATCCGCGGGACTAACCCAAGTCTGGAAAGACTCACCAACAGTAGGCCAACCAGTCTCGCCTATCACAATGCCAACATCTGCATAGCCCAAGGCCTTCATGGCAGAGTAGACAGCATCCATCTGAGACTCAAACATGTTGTAGTACATCTTCTTGGTATACCTATCAAACCTTCCTCTATTCCTCTTAAAGAGGCAGAAGTTGACGTTCTTAGGATAAACATCAAAGTATGGGTAGGGGTTTACGACAAAGGGAGCCTTGGTTTCGCGGAGGAATTGGAGCATTGGGGCTAACACACCCTTGTCCCATCCGGGTCGAAAACGGCCTGTGCTTGGGGGTTGTGACCTGCTTAGGATGGCCAAGGAATGAGGAGAAGAGACCTGTAGTTCATAGCAGAGCATAAAATGATCCATTTTCTCTAGGAAAGCAAAGTTTTAGCTAAATTCATAGACTACCACAATTCAGTAATCTTTTTAGTTCGTGTTATCAAACAATTGGTATTACTTTAAGTCAGAGCCTAATGTAAAATTCATGCATCATTTTGCAAGATTTTTTTTTTTTTTTTTTTTTTTGACACATGCAAGAAATTTACAGCAATTGGCTTAATTGATTAATCACGAATTTCAATGTTACTTTGTAGAATCTACATCAGAAATAATTTACCGTGTTATTTTGTAACAAAGTCCCAACTTATAATAATTAATGATATGATATGTTTCCAGTTTTTACAATGTACGGAGTAATCTTTCATAGTTGTTGAGTCGTTTGTATTACACTATATATACCAGTATATTTATTTAATCTACGGTACTATACACTACATAGAAGTATTTTATACAAGTGTATGATGATACTTAACATTTTGCACACATCCCAAATTATCAACTTGACTATTAATCTTGGTCTTAGGAAATTAATTTGAGCTTGCCTAGAAAATGCAATTGAAATGTGGTGCAAATTCATCCAATCTCTAAATTTATGAAATTTTTGTACAAAATTCAAGCAATGATGCATTCATACTGCATCAAAGAGGGCCAGGGTGTTGAGGTGTCTGTTTTGTCCTGCAAACCCTGCTTCACCATTATGCTTTGAATTGTGTGGTTCTTACAAAATATAGATTACATAACCTCATTTCATTACCTCCAATAATATTAACGCATAACGCCTTTTGTTTTTAATCTATTTTTTCATGGGCCGAATTTATTAACTCAAAGTTTAATCAAGATCCACCAATTATAAATTTTAGGCCCAATATCAAAATTTCAAACACGCTTTAAATCTGTAACCCAATAAGTGTATTTTGCAACCCAACACCTTGTCACAAATAGCATAATTCCGGACTTGCAAGTTGCAAAATTGCAAGCATCATCATTAACGGATTAAGGTGTGTCGAAATCAATTATGGTGTGTCAAAATCATTTCCCGTTGCAAATAAATGGACAATCGTATTACTTGCAAGTTGCAATTAAATAAACAACCGTATTTCCCATTCTCATGATAGTCTGCAATATTGCAGCAGACTTGAATTCATTATTCATTACTCAACAAGGCTACATCTATGCATTCATGATTCATAAATACATTATTAATTCAACACTAAGAAAATGAAACATCATCTTTGGTACGTTTGAACTAACCAAATTAATTACTACCATTATTAACCATAACCACAATTAACCATTGAAACAAGCAATTAAAAAGCCATAAAGTAACCTCCAAAAAAAAAATATGTACATACCTGAATATGGTTATGACCAGCTTGTACGAGGGCTTGGTGAAGGGTACGCATAGCAGCAACAAGATTATCAATGAGGTTTTGTGGGCCCCAATGAAGGACCTCATTACCAACAAGAACTCTTATAATATTTGTTTGTGGAACAAATGGTGTAACATACGTAGCAACCCATTGTTGTGCACCGGGGAGTTGTACAAGGTTCGGAATCTCGCCATTAGGCACGGTAATTGTCACGTCTATACCCGTGTTAGCGAACGCCTTTACAATATTTGAATTGGCATCAAATAATTTGATCCTATTGATTGATGTTTTTGTTTTGAGGAATTCCGCCACCTGAGCAGGTGGCGGAAGGTTATCCCCTAGTGTACCGTAATTCACCCCGACGTTCCATGCGACGGCAGGGTGAAGGTTAAAGTGGAGGAAAGAGAATATGATGAGAAAGTTGAATAGAGGATTCATGGTTGGGTATGATATTATAGTTTAAACTTTGGGAGAAAGATGATATTGTGAGATAAGGAAGGTATAAATATATTTTGAGTAGGAGAGGCTAGGAGGGAATCAAGGTGGAAACACACCCAACTTTCTTTTAGCTGTCTTTTGTTTTGGCTTTTTTACCAGTTACTATATTTTCCATTTTTTTTTTGTCTCTTAATTAAGGAAGGATGGAATCCTATGTCATTGGTTCTTTTTATTTTAATCTTTATCTTTTATTTTATAATGTGTAACAGGTAACTCTATTAAGCTATTAACATATGAATTTATGATATGAATAAAACGGAAAATTTAATCGTGTGACTTATCATATACAAACCTTTATTTTTTATTACGAGTACTCCGTAATAGACACCTTAAATAAAGTACTCCGTATTTAAGTATGGAAATTATATTGGTATGAGAGTTTTAAAACCGACCTCCACATGCTTTTTTTTTTTACTTTTATGGGACAAAAAAAGGGAAAAATTGTCAAACTAAGCGTTTTTGGGAAACAATTTCCCAAACAAGACGCGTGGCAAAACTATTTACCAAACTAAGCTTCCAGAGTAAAACGCCAACCAGGATGGCGTTTTACCCTGGGCATTTATTTTTTTTTAATTTTTAGTCAAGGATAAAACGCCATCAAGGGTGGCGTTTTACTGCTGGGCAAATTTTTTTAAAAAAACACATTTACACAAAAACGCTAACGCCGTTGGCGTTTTACCCTGAGTGATTTTTTTGAAAATAATTTACCCCCCTAAAGCGCCACCATGGTTGGCGTTTTATCTCTGCACACAAACACAGCTATACAGCAACAGCAGCAACAACCACAGGAGCTGCAACAACAACAGCAACAACCACAGGAGCTGCAACAACAACAGCAGCAACAACCACAATAACTACAACAACAGCAACAGCGACAACCCCAACAAGAGCAACAGCGACAACCCCAACAAGAGCATCAACAACAATCACAACAACTACTACAACCTTAACAACAGGAACCACAACAATAACTGCAACAACATCAGCAACATTAACAACACCAGCAACAACAACAACAACAGCAACCAATACAATGAAAAGAATGAATGTGTATGGTGAAGTTGATAATGTACAGAAAATGAACTAAAAAGGTTAGTAAAATTGATAATATTTATTTGGATACAATGTACTATAGAATCTGATTACAACTAACAAAAGAAGTTCTAAGATCTCGATTCATCTATTGTATGTAAGTGTTGTCTATCCAATCGCGGTCTTCTACGACGGTAGTACTGAGATACCGTTGTGAAAGGATCTGGGGCAGAGGTCTGGGGAGGAGTCTGTTGGCTGGAAGATGGTCCTTCCTGAGATGAGTATGGCGCAAACATGTGGATGGCGATATCTTCCTGATCATCAAAAAACAGGGGGGACCCTGTAGGGGACGTGTGAGTCTGTCCCCTACTACTGCTGCCTACCTCACGGTGTGAACGGCGGTGTGATTGGTCCCGGCCCTGGGGGATAAGATGGCCATGACCATGTCTCTGTAAGCTACTCACAGTCATTGCGTGAATGTCATCCAACTGCGGTATGGTGGGATATGATATGCTCAAGACTTCTAGTGCATCATGTATAGCAAGCATATCAGACGCCTGCATTAGTCAACAATCAGCCATTTTAATAATTAAAGAAACTATAAATTGGAGGAAAAGAAAAAATGACAAAAAACTCACATATCCACTGATGTCTCCAAAAGCTGGGTGGTAATGCGTTAAGGGTGGGGTGTAGTTAGGGTTGATGAAGCGTCGGGTAATGCTCCTGTACCATACCATGTATGGATCGTGATACTCCATCAGGCCTTGGACAGGCGCACCATCCGCGACGTGCTGCAGCCGCTGGTCCCACATGTCAATGTAAGGGGCATGCTGAACTGCCCAGTTAACCTTCCCCTTTCCTCGTCGGTCTGTCCTGTGCAACTGGACACTCGTGTCACACGGGGCGGGGATGGCTTGACAAAGGCCGAACTGTCGCATGACTCTGTCGGGGAGGTGAGCCTCCACCAACTCAAAACAGATAAGCACTGTCATGGCACGCCACTCCATCTGGTGATCAAGAAGATATTGGGGCATGTCATCGACTAAGTGAGGGACGTACGGATCCCACGTCATCTGCATTAACAAGCAGTCGTTAACATCATAATTAACTTATTAAAATAATGAACACGGTGTTAAATTAGTTTTTAAAGTGAACTATAACCTGAGACTCGCTCAGTCTGTCGAATGCATCTCTATAATACGGCAGACCCCTTGCTGCATGCACACGAGTAAGTCTCCGCCCTAGCCACCTGATTACATGTATAATAACAGTGTTCATGACAAAATTAATAGAAAATTAAAACCATATGTGGATAACTTAACAATAAGTCATACATACCGGCAACCGTATGCTAAGTCCGGTGGTGGGTGTGGCGGCGCCTCATATGCATGCTCCTAATCGTCTTCCTCCTCCTCCTCGCGTCGACGCCTAGCAGGCATAGCTGGCCTACCAACGTGGATGTGCTCCCAAGCCCATAACTGTAATAAAAAAAACAAAAGTTTAGTCTAGCCAATGTTTAGTACGTAATAGGTAGAAAATGGTATGAAAGTACAAGACTACCTGAAGCACAATCAAGGGACCGCTGATCTCCCATCTACTACGCTGGGATGCTCTGCAAAGATGTCGATATAAGGTTGCCAGACACGCACTACCCCAGCTGTAGTCACGTATACCCTCCTAGTTGTTCTCTAACAGTTGTAGGTAGATCAACTGTATGTGACTACCACTCTTGTTACTGAATAATGATCCTATCAACATGAACAGGTACGCTCGAGCGTATCTTTGGACGACCCCATCATCAGCATCAGGAGGCAACACCCCAAATGTCTCTCGTAACCATATGTGTCTTAACCCTGTGCCTCTAACATCGGTCGCCTCAGGCCTCACCCCTAACACCCTCTCAACAAGGCCACGAGGGTCCTGTATAATCGGTCTTGTAACTGCCCTACCATGCACTAGGAACCGTGTAAGTATCGCCACATCTCGGAGCGTGACGGTGGCCTCCCCAACTGGTAGATGGAAGGAGTGAGTTTCCTGTCTCCATCTCTCAACAAGCGCAGTAATAAGCGCTCGATCGATCGGTGTGAAGGCCATCCAAATAAATTCCAAACACAATAAATATTTGGTAGATGAAAACTTACTATCTGCTCCCATATGTCACGGCTCCGATGGGTATCCTGAAGTGTCAGCACTGAAGGGTCAGCTGGTCCAGGATCATGTCGTGTCTGCCCCTGATCCTGTCCCTCCATGATCTTTGTTCAGCGTACAATGTAAAACAAAAAGTCATCTACATCCTACTTGAACACACACACACAACATGGTATAAAAATAATACATAAACTAACACCACCACCGGTCACCGTCCGTTCGAAAAGGGCAAGATCTCTTATTGTGTCCTTCCTGACGGCAACGACTACATTTGCTTGGTGGACGGTTTGTCTCATCCATTTCATTTCGTATACGCTTCGACGGTGGGCGACCGTGTCCTCGGACCATGATCTCATCAGGATGATTTTAGGCCCTCTGTATGACCTCCACGTCGTCTCACAAGGAATAGGCCAGAATTGTGGGGCATAAGTATTTGCATACGCCTCTGATCGTAGGAAACTGTCCACCCACGGTTCCTCAGAAACTGAATACTTAAGACACACGGCTAGAACATGAGAACATGGTAGGTGAAATATCATCGGTTTGTTGCATGTACATGTTCTTAAATTAAAGTTAACGGTATGCTTATGACCCCCTGTTGCTGTAATAAACGCCTTCAGCAATAGCTTTGTATTTCCACAGAACTACAGTGCCTGGGTTCGACTCCTGGAGGGCTTGCATGAATGAAGGAAGTCTGTTGTATGAACTCTCCCAATCCCCAAAAATTTCCGCAATCGCTTTCTGTTTGGCATACCACGCTCTTCGATATGGAACATCGAATTGAAATTTGTTGGAGATGATATGTTGTATGAACTCAACTCTCAAACATGGATCTTTCTGCACAAACGACTTCACATAGTCGCAGATAACAGAGGAGTCCAAGTGTCGATGATCTCTGGGCGGAACTTCATTAACACAATTGTCGCGATGTGGGCCCTTGTAAGATACGATCTTAAAGGCACGTGTGGTTAGATTTGTTTTTGTACCACGTAGCGACCAACCACACCCCCTCTTGCACTTTAAATGAAGGACATTCTCATTCGACGTCACTGTGGTGTAGAAATGATTTCGCTCTATGGAATACAATTTCACCATTTCCTGTAGCGCTTTCTTATTGTCGAAAATCATGCCCTTCTCAAATTCTCCCCCGACACGAAACGAACACTGGCTCCCGAATCACCCCAATGTATGTCCACCTCATAGTTCTCGTTTATTTGACTGAACCAAGGTAATGGAGTTCTAGCAACAACATCATCCACAGACAAATCGTTGTTTATAACATCTTCTTCATCTCCGTCTTCACCCTCGTCGTTTGTGTCATTATACATATCAAGAACAGACAACTCGTTGTTTATAACAAGTTCAGCATTCACCAAAGTCTGAAACGGTGGTGTTTCAATATGTTCTTGCGTGGGAGAGTAACTTTGCAACTGCATCGATGATGAAATGTCATTGTTTGAGGTAGATGGACCAGGTTGCTGCATTGACCCCGACGCCGTAAATTGTGAACTGAATGGAATGTCAAATTGATCGTCGTGTAACATTCTACTGAAAGAACCCATTCCATATTCAGATGATGGAATGTTATATGCGGGCATTTGTAGAGAGCTCGCATTGTATGATGGAAGAAATGTTGGTTGTTGAGTACATACAGGCACCGTTTCCACATACAAATCAGTAGGAAGAGACCTCATTACAACGGCACCCCTCAAAACCTCCAAATGGTCGTCATTCAAAACAGGTAAGATTTGAATCCTGCTAACACTTTCAAACCTCATTTTGATGTTCACTTCAACACTTGTTGGCTTTGAACCAATTATAGTATAAACTTTCTTCAACAAATCATTGTAAGTCATACAAGGTTTCAATGCTAGCGGTTCCATTTTTCCTCCTCTATACTCGACATTGGGTCCGACACACAAAATTTCACCCCCCCAACGGCATAACAAAACAATCAATTGTGAAGCCATGTTCTACATAACATCATACCACATATTAGGTGACACATATGCACAACTAAAACCACAATGATTCCAATAAATCCTCAAGCAAAGCGTACATACAACGCAGTGTTCAACAACATACTAACTTACCTACTTAATCTAACAATGTAAGATACATTTAAATGTACTTAACTCAACAATGTAGTTCGTAATTCCCTAAATGCTTCATATATGTAGTTCAACAACTAAATGCTTCATATAAATTATACGAAATTATACAACATACATATAACTATACTTAATTTCAATAATTAAACAACAATGTATTATGTAGTTATACATATTTCGCATACTTGAACAACACTATAGTACATACATTGTAAATTACAAACATAAATTCCCAAAAAACATCATACACAAGTAAAATAGTTAAATTCAAGACATACCTCAATTTCGATGAAAGTAGGGCGTAACAGTGTTGAACAAAGAAGGAGGATTAATTTTTATTGACTATGATGCAAAACTAAGCTACGGAATGTGATGAAATTGCTTCAAATATGGAGAATTGGAAGTTGGTAAGCGCGGGGTTAGGGTTTGCAATTTGGGGGTTTGGTTGAATAATGAAGAACAGCGATATATGCTGTTAGAAATACCCGACTCTAAAACGCCAACGACGTTAGCGCTTTTGTGTTAAAAGTAAAACGCCAACGGCGTTAGCGTTTTTGTGTAAATGTTTTTTTTTAAAAAATTTGCCCAGCAGTAAAACGCCACCCTTGATGGCGTTTTACCTTTGACTAAAAATTAAAAAAAAAATTGCCCGCCACCCTGGTTGGCGTTTTACCCTGAAAGCTTAGTTTGGTAAATAGTTTTGCCACGCGTCTTGTTTGGGAAATTGTTTTCCAAAAACGCTCAGTTTGGTAATTTTTCCCAAAAAAAGTGGCAAATTTGGTGACAAAATCTTTTAATGTTAAAATGGGCCACAAACTCGTTTTGTGGGGTCCAACCAATTAGATCACCGTGTTGACTATTATAGTAAAGGTTTCCGTCGTAAGTGGCGGACTTATTGTCTGTTGGATGTTCTTAGCATGTGGTTTTTTTTTTTATATTTTTTTTTTTTGGGGGGGGGGGGGGTGTGTGCATTAGGGGTGAGCAAAGACCCAGGGTACCCGGTACCGGACCCGGAACCGGTTAGGATCCGCCGGGTCCGGACCCGGAACTGGTCCCACCGGTTCCGGGACCGGGTCCAAAATGTCGGACCCGGTTGTAACCGGTTCCGGGACCGGGTCCTAAAATTTCGGACCCGGTACCCACTGGGTACCCGGTTTAAACCAATTCCAGTTCCGGGTACCCGGTCCCGGATCCAGACAATCCGGGTACCCGGAACCGGTACTGATTTAGTTATAAAAAATTATTTTTTTTTTTAAAAAACCCAACAATCCACAGTCCAATACAACATTAGGCCCATTTCATCCAATTCATTTCTGCTAGGGTTTCTGTCAGCCACTAAACAAATGAAATATTGGGCCTTTTTTGTTATTACCAGCCCACTTACTCACAACCCATTCATCTTATAAGGAGTACTTATTATTAAAACCCTAAAACTACTCTTCACCGCCCACCAAATGCACTATCTTCACAAATTTCACCAGCCAATATCACCTTATAATTCATCAACCACCCTTTTCCATATTCTTAGATCTATATCAAATTCTTATTTTTTTTATTTTTTGTTTTTTTTTTTTGACGAAAAACATATTATGAACCTGTTCTCTCTTACAAATTCTCATTCATGGCATATGAAGAAGTCGGAACCACCACCACATCAACGAAGAACACGTCAATGTTAAGAGAATGAGAGAAGAGGTGATAGTTAAGGGCGGTGACCCGAAGAAGAAGCTCGATTATATATTAAATTATAATTTATATAGATTATTTGACTCATACTAATTTGGTAGTGTATAATTCATGTATTGGTTAGATTTTAGATCTTAATTTGTTCATCTCAATATTCTGGAAATTTTCTATGGTTTCAAGTTTTTTAATGGCTGGTCAACTATAACACCGGGTACCCGGTTCTAGAACCGGTACCCACCGTTTCCGGTTCCGGGTCTAAAATTTTGGGACCCGGTTGATACCGGTTCCGGGACCAGTTGCAAAATCTTAGACCCGGTACTAACCGGTTCCGGGACTGGGTCCTTAGTTTTTGACCGGGTACCCGGTTTTGCTCACCCCTAGTGTGCATATTCGTTTTAGACCGTTGGCAAAAGGCAGGTTGAATAATTTGTGCTTTACTTTAAAATAAGAATAAAGTTCATTAAATTAAGTTACTTTTTTCTGTTTTTAGATCTTTAGTACAATAGTTTAATTGATGTACGATTACAGATTTACAGGTGTCCTCCCTCAACTACCAATTGAAAACATAGAATTATGCTAACGTTCAAAAAGTTGAAGAAATTTCAGATAACTTAGTTAGAACGCTAATGAAGTTCAAGGCAATCAATTAATGATTAAACTTAGAGTATTATATAATAAATTTCACATCCCAGGGAGCTTAAGTAATCATTAAACTAATTCGCAAGCTAGTAACTTCATTCTTTCAAGACGAGTGAGAATATCAATCCCTTTTCATACTAGTCATATAATTCATGTATCAACATATATATGAAAATCGATATTAAAACTACGTATACTAATTATTTACATTGTATAATTCAAGTTGACATCTTTCTTTACAATAACATAAATAAACATGCAGTTTTAATACGAAATAATTTTTATTTTTACACGACCAAAATATGAGATATAATTCACGCAAAAATACATAGAGTTGATCAGTGTATAGGACAATAGGAATATTAGTAATGTTATCTTAGTAGAGCATAGTTACATTGGCATATGTGTGCATAAGTGCAGTTTATTCATGTGTTTATACATGTTCATTGTAAAGATACTATAGTGTTTATCATTATTTTTGACATGAAATGAATATGCTAGATTGATTGCTAGCTATCTAGCAAAGTAACAATTAGTAGTATCAAAATACGAGGAAAAAAAAAAAGATAATTCGAAAATATATTAGTGTACAATTGTTCAATTCAAATATAACTCTGTATATAAGTTTTAACAAAATCTACTCACTCTATCTCAGTTTCAAATTAATTTAAGCATTTTCTTTATACGACTTTAAATATGCCGGAACTTGAGTTGACTAGTCAAACCTTGAAAGAAATAATACTCAAAAAGCAACACGGTGGATTTGGATGAGGCATGAATGTTGGCAATACACGATGCAAAGATATCATCTCTTCAAAATACACGAACTAAACACGGTAAACTGAAAGATACTAAGGTTGTTTGTGAGTTTATCCAATCTAGAAGTAATTTGGGATAACACGGTTGGCAACAGATATTTTGGATAGTTGGATTAGCGTCAAGGAATCAATCAAGTTTCACGCGATAATTTGTAAGTTGGGCTTGGGCCAAGTGTTGTTGTATTGTTTACAGATGGGCTGGCGGCCCATATAATGTAATGAGTTGCCATATTTTGACAAAATAGGTTGTTGAAAACAATACGGATGTATATAAATATGTATGATATTAAATAAAATGCGATGTGGGACTAAAAATTTATCAGTATTCATGACAATTGACAAACTTTCTGTTATTAGAGGTCCTAAATTCTAATAGTCACACCTTTTGGCTAATCAGTAGTTCTTCTATTCTGGCGTTTCATGATTCTTGTAACTCCTTTAATTAGGCATCTCTTTGTTCACGGTTCACCTCCTGGGATACAAAGCGTAAATCAAATAGAGCTTGTGTCACAACCCCCATCTCACGCGGTTCAGGTACAGCCTATATAGCTAATGCTAGAGTAAGGATCTTGAAGGTGCAAAATTGAAGTTCTGCATACATTTCATCAATTTCATATTGGATGGTGTGTTAAGTTAACTAACAGTGCAACACCAGCTAGGCTGCAAGCTTTTTCTGTAAAAATGGTTAGTTATGACAGCAACTACGAGGGCTAAAAATAGATTTGAGTCTGTCAGACAACTGTGTAACCATCCCAAGCTGACAAAGTAGAGCTGGGGAACGATCATCTACGGCACTAGTGGTCCGAGAACCAAAGGCAGCTGTTAATCACGCTCTGATCACACGGTCATAGTTCATCCACCAGACTTGGTTTTCTGTCTCCTTAGAACTCAAGGATACAGAGGTACGATCCTATAGAACAGATCCTGTTCAAGTAAGGTCGTATCCATCATATGCTGCTCAAGTGTTTATAAACATGGTGTTTACTTTGTAAAATAATAATGTGGGAGTTAAAGAGTTGATGTTATAGCGCTAATCACATTGCATTAACCTATTAAACTTACAAATAACTAATCCCTTTTACCTCGAATTGTTGTCAAGTTTTCTATTTTAACTACTGGTTAGGCAAACCTCAAGTAGAGATCAAACAGTTTACTTTGTGACAGCAACTTCCCAACCTCAGTCCATCTCTGGACCATACTCGATACTCATGAACATTATATTTTGTGTAGTTGTGCACACTACGTTTTCGCGATTTGGCCTGCAGTGATGTTGGCCCTTCACTTGGACATGCCTATATTACTGCAAGGCCTGAAATAAACTGAGCCAGGAGGACAAAACATATTTAGCCTAATAACCAAAGTCTAATCAAACATACAAAATATTTAAGGCACATACAATTTGTGAGCCCCGCAGTTACCTTAGTAGCTTGCAATGTATGCAGTATAAACAACCTTGTTGTTACATTACAATTACATTCTTCATTCTCTCCACAAATTAAAATAAAGTAAAAGATTACATTGTTCATAGGCTGCAAAAATATTTGGAGTCTGTCAGACAACCGTGTGACCATCCCAAGCTCACAGAGTAGCCGGGGAACGATCATCTACGGCATCAGTGGTCCGAGAACCAAAGGTAGCTGTTAATCACGCTCTGATCACACGGTCATAATTCATCCACCAGACTTGGTTTTCTGTCTCCTTAGAACTCAAGGATACAGAGGTACGATCCTATAGAACAGATCCTGTTCAAGTAAGGTCGTATCCATTATACGCTTCTCAAGTGTTTATAAACTTGATGTCGGCTTTGTAAAATTAAAATGTGGGATTTGTCAAAAATTATGTTTTTGCTTTAAAGTAATTAGCTATCCAAATCTATAGCTCAAGGAAACATAAAACATAAGGTAAATTATATCTGAGTAATCTGACTAAATTGGACTTCAATTACAAGTCTCACCATCAATAAGTCATTAAGTTGACAAAGATGGAGTTAAAGGGTTCAAACACATCGCGTTAACCAATAGGATTTAGCTATCTCCGTTTCCCTGAATAATTGTCTAGTTTAACAAATGAAGTAGTTCATAAGAATCATAACCAACAAATTACACACAGAACAAATTAAATACAACTGATATCATTTGACCAAATATACAGAGCAGTCATTGGTAAATTCTATCAAACTGTCTGTATTAGTGTATTACATATGATCTCTACTATGGAGTACGGAGTATTAGATAACAATAGAGTAATCGAAGAAAAAACAGCATTGTCAGTGCAGGCAGGCATAAATTCCCTTCAGTTCATACTGTAAGCATTTGAGTTTTGAGAAACTAATCTTATTTGGCAAATATGAATTATGATCCGATGACTTGCTTATATGATATAAAAAGTCTTTTTTTGATAGAAAAACTTTAAAAGAAGATCAGCATCTAAATCTACGCATTCAAATGATTTTTTCTTTTATCACTCGCCGTACCAGACTTATCATTATTTATAAGTACATACTGATTAAATGAAAGCACATTATTTTGAAGCTTCTAGGAACTACAATTTGTTAGGTCTTGCAAAGGTAACAAACATTCAGCTTATTTGCATTAATTAGTTAGTAATACAAAAATATACTAGTATAATACTCTGCATGTCTAATTGTCTGCTGCACATTGTCTAGGATAGTATGATCAGGCCTCTGAAGAGATTCAGGCATCTTCTGTCAGACAACGTGATAGTTGCAGAAATGAGGGAAGATAGTTCTTTGAACCTCACGATATAAACAGACTAATTAGTTACTAACAAGATTGATAGTTAAAGATAATATTGGTCAAAATGGTGAATTAACAATGGTGAAATATCAATATGGTAGGACTAGTAAACGGAGTACATAATTGGTCATAATTTAACATTTGTAAGCAACACTTCAATTCACACGGCATAATTTACATCAATTACATGGTCATAAGACCAGTTCTAATAGTACCTAGTCAAATAACCTTTGCATCAATAAAAGGTTAAATCTACTGATCACGGTAATGTTTTCATATGAGAAAATTCAAATGGTAAGTAGCAATTAATTTAATTTTCTCTGGAGGACTAGCATACTATTTCCCCTTCTGACCAAAATAAAAATTGAAAATATTCGAAGTTTTCAGCGTCATGATCATGATGTTCGTTACACAGACCGATTCTAGATGTGGTATGATTCCTCTGATTAGTTCTAGTAATGACATAGTAAACAAGCAAAGAAGAAAGGGAAAAAGAGAAAACAAGTACTCAACTTGACAATTTCTTTAATAATGTTTCTTAATGTAACGCGAAATGACTAGTTACACTAATCTAAAAATTCAAGTAGGGGTGTGTGTGATCAGCTGTGATAGATGTTTTTGAAGTTTGAAAATTTCCTCAGGAATTAAACAAATCCTTCAAGTTGCACGATATGTTAACTATATAAACGAGTATTATCTTTTAAGTTTGAAGCAACATTCATAGCCTGCACACAAAGATTAACAAGTAACTTGTCAAATAATCAGAGGGAAGAAGAGCAGGCAGCTGATATTTTTGGCACAACATACACAATGGCAAATAACTGGCTTATTATTTTTGTCTGTGCTTTTGCATTGCTTCCACTGTTTACTAACGTAGCTGCAGATTCATACGATTACAAACCCTCACCATACTACTCGCCCTCATATGTGTACAAATCCCCATCATACTATAAATCTCCACCACCCTACTCTCCCTCGTACTCCTACAAATCCCCTCCATACGAATATAAGTCTCCACCACCCTATGAATATGGCACCTACTCACCCTCGTACTCCTACGAGTCCCCTTCATATTACAAGTCTCCACCAGCTTACAAGTCCCCTTCATACTACAAGTCTCCACCAGCTTACAAGGCTCCTTCATACTCCTACGAGTCCCCTTCATACTACAAGTCTCCACCAGCTTACAAGGCTCCTTCATACTCCTACGAGTCCCCTTCATACTACAAGTCTCCACCAGTTTACAAGTCCCCTTCATACTCATATGAATCCCCTTCATACGACTACAAGTCTCCACCAGTTTACAAGTCCCCTTCATACTCCTATGAATCTCCTTCATACGACTACAAGTCTCCACCAGCCTACAAGTCCCCTTCATACTCCTATGAGTCCCCTTCATACTACAAGTCTCCACCAGCCTACAAATCCCCTTCGTACTCCTATGAGTCCCCTTCGTACTACAAGTCTCCACCCTCCTACAAGTCCCCTTCATATGACTACAAATCCCCCGAACCATACAAGGCTCCTTCATATGAAAAGTCCCCTGAACCCTACAAGTCCCCTTCATATGACTACAAATCCCCCGAACCATACAAGGCTCCTTCATATGACAAGTCCCCTTCATACTACTACTCTCCTAAACCATACTACTACTCACCCTCGTACTCTTACAAGTCTCCACCTCCTTACTAAACTAAAGTCTCCACTATCTTACCTAGTGCCCTAGCTTCAAAAATCATTATCATAAGTCACTCTCCCTGATACTGTTTATCTTCTACTTACTACAAACAATAAAGAAAATTGTCAAAGTTTTGTTGTTTATTTACATTTATACAATTTGTTTACTCATCTTTGTTACTTGGATGTTGAATAAAAGTGTAATAAGTGTGCTTGGTTGCTGTGGGCTATTGACCCTATTGTTATATAAGAAATAATGTATCTGAGTTCTTAATTGAATTTATGGATTGATAATCTTGTGCTTCTAGTCTGATCTCCAAAATTTTATTTAGGTGCACCTGATGCTGCATACATCACTTTTAAATTTACAAGCTAAGTATAAGAATGAAATCCGTATCGTGTCCAAATACTGATCAAGAACAGACGCAATTTACCACAAGTACCATTAATATATGATAGAATTGAAGAGTGGTATCCACAAAATCCTACAATTCAGCTACATTTACATGTCCAGGTCTCGTTACAGATAGTTGAACGCGCACATATATTTTAATGATAATATACACAAAGTACATGATGTATAAGCCTTATCCACATCAATACATTAACATAAAAGATCAATACCAAATCAAAAGCTGCCTTGTTTAAGTATGACTTTGAAGGGTTCTCACTAAATCAGAAGTTAAGTCAAAACAATAAAATAATGAAACATAAATGGAAGTATATTAGAGAGCAATTGTTATTGCAAACAAAAAAAATCATTAAGGGTCTATTTGTTTCATATAACTTTGTTTGAAATTATTTTATCTTACCTAATTTGATTTTACTTCATTTTTTGAACTTATTGTATTTGAATTTTCTAAGCTTATTTTATCTTCAACAGTAGACCAGAACAAATCAATAAAAATAATTATAATAATATATTAATAACACTAATTTAAGAGCCCTTTCCCTAAATAATGTTGGGAAAACATACAATTCCCAAATTATCACTAATCTTTTTTTAATTCCCACCGTACCGTCCACGTCAGCGGTTCAGGGGGAATTTTTTTAAAAACTGGTTTATTAAAAAACCGCTACTTGAAGTAGCGGTATACGATTAAAAACCGCTACTTGAAATAGCGGATTATTTAGAGAAACCGCTACTTCAAGTAGCGGTTTGTATTTACTAAGTATTTTTTTAACAAAATCACTTCCCTTTTCCCTTGTAAAATAAATCAACTGAATCATCCCCAAAAAAAAAAAAAAAAAAAAGTCGACACTCCTCACCATCATCAATCCCCGCGCCGGAAGTTGTAATCGCCGCCGTTGCCGCCATCACCGACTTGCTCACGGTTGTTTGCGGACACTATTGTATGGGGAAATATCTACATAACGGAAATCATAATGGACCGATATGGTTGGACATACCGACATACTGTTTGAATTCGATCCATAAATGGCCTTTGTTAATATCGGCGTTCCTATAAAGTAGACATATCAGCATATAGGTAGCTGCCACATGTCGCGCTCACAATTGACACGTGGCAGAAATTACATTACTTATTAGACTGCCATCTGTCACCTAGTAAACATATAAATAATCCGGTTTTACTTCATAAACAAGGTAGCATTTATTACACTTTCTCTCTCTCTCTTTCACTACTTTCTCTCTCTAAATCACTTCTCTTCTATAAACACTTACTGACTTAATCTTTGGAGTGGTTATCCCCGGATTCACCCCGGGGCTAGCTTATCTCTTCTCTTTGTGTAGGTTCTTATTTGGCCGATAGGAGCAGAACGGGTTATATACTCGAGCTTCGAATCCTGAATTCGGGTTATCGGATTTCTGCTGAAACAGTTGGCGCTAGAAGGAGGGGAGCTACTTAATTGCTTCTATCGCCTGAAAGAGCCTTATACTTTCCGATAAAATAAAATATATATATATATATATATATATATATATATATATATATATAATAAAAAAAATATATAAAATATGCCTGATCCAGAAATTCAGATCGAGGATGAGACTCATACATTGGGGGGTAATGTATTTCATATGCCGTTAACCCCTGAAAGGCAGGCTAGGACATATATAGACCCTATGGCAGGGTTTACATCAGAAGAATTGGCAACAACTTCAAGGGTAATGACAACTATGAGCAAAAAAAGAAAAGAAATAGGGGCAACCCAAGATGGAGGAGGGATGCCTTTTACAGCTCATGGCAATCAATTTGACCAGACTGGAAGTTCGCAAAGACGCCGGAATGATGGGTCGCCGACAAGATCCCAACAAACCCCTAGGGAATCAGAGGTTCGATCCTCAGCTCAGGACGAGAGTACAGGAACTTACCAGCAAGGAGCGGGGCGAAGAGTAGTTCAGTTGAGGGCATCACCATTTGCACAAAGCATCATTGACCAGCCAATGGAGAAAATCAAAATGCCGACATGTCGGTATGATGGTAGGGGAGATCCAGGAAGATACATGACCTCGTATGAAGGTCACATGATTTTATACACCAACTCTGATGTCGTTTGGTGTAAGGTGTTTCCCACTACTTTGGTTGGAGCAGCAGCCGATTGGTTTAATAATCTTGAAAATGGAGCAGTTCACAGTTTCCAGCAGTTAGCCGAAATGTTCATAGGGCAGTATGTCAGTAATAGTGTTCGGCAGAGAACTTCTGGAGAGTTAATGGTTGTTACTCAGAAAGCAGATGAATCTTTAAGGGATTACATAAGGAGGTTTAATAATGAAGCCAATACAATTCCAAGATTGCAGCAGGAGATAGCAGTCATGGCACTAATGAACGGTCTGAATGATTCGGAATTCAAGAGATACCTAACTCGAAAAAATCAGCCAACATTAGCCGCATCTTTTAATAAAGCTCATAATTATATTAAGAGTGAAGAATTAATGAAGACAAGCAGCCGAATAAGTTCTACTGATAGAATTCACCCTATGTCGGAAGAGGGATCTTCAGGGGTTCTAAGGTCAAGGAACCCAACGGCAGCAAGAAGAGGAAGCCACCAAGAGGTCAGAGGAACCAAAGCACCAATGCGATATAATTCGTATACACCTCTAAATGCACCAAGGGCTGCAATATATTCTATAAATCAGAACCGAGAAGGATGGGTGAGACCTGTGCCGATGAAAGCGAAAGGAAGGGATACCAAGAAGTATTGCATGTTCCACCGAGATGTAGGGCATTACACTGAGGACTGTGTGCAGTTGAAGGATAATATTGAAGAATTAATAAGAAGGGGGCATCTTACGCAATACCGGTTGCAATCTGGGGAAAGTCAGCAACAACAATATAGGCAACCAGGACGCCAGCAGATAGAATACCGGCCAGAAAGACAAGGTCAAGTGAACCGACAGGGGGAAGGCGGACAACCACCGTCATCTACTGGAAAAAGAGTTGATGTAATAACTGGTGGACCAGTTCACGGAGGAACCATAAGTGGAGCACGGAAGCACCTGTCGGAGTATCGGCACATTATTAATGCATTAGATGTTGCTGATCGCCCACAGCCGTCTGAAATTCCGAATGTAACCTTCACCAAATAAGATGCAAAAGGAATAGTGTTTCCTCATGATGATCCCCTTGTATTAATAGCAAAGATTAATGGGGCCGATGTGAAAAGGGTTCTAGTTGATGGAGGAAGCTCAACAAATGTTCTGTTTATGCAAGTCTTCAATGAGTTGATGATAGGCCGAAAATATTTAACGCCGGTATCATATCCGGTGATTGGGTTTAACGGTTCAACAGTGAGGCCAGAAGTAAGTATAGTTCTCCCTATTAGGCTCGGAGACGGTACAACAGCAAGAGATGCGATGGCTGAATTTTTAGTAGTGGATGTACCGTCGGCGTATAATGCAATTGTGGGAAGGCCGATAATTCATGACATACAGGCAGTAGTATCAACTTATCATTTAACTATTGCTTATGTGTCAAATAGAGGGGTTGTGGAAAAGGTACATGGGGGACAGGTGATGGCAAAGTCATGCTATGTCACGGCGTTAAAAAATCCGGGGCAGAAAGGAGAAGTACCAAACAACCCTAAGCGGGCAAGAGAACCAACAGTGCGAGATTTGTCGATGGAAAATTTTGATTCTAGGCCGGAAACTATGCCGAGACCATCGCCAGGAGGTGAAACAGTGCAAGTAGAGCTCCGACCAGGAAATTCAAGTCAGACAGTTAAGGTGGGGGCTGATATGGACGTTGAAATGAGGTGCAATCTGATCAGCTTGTTGAGAGAAAATGCGGATGTATTCGCCTTCTCGGCAAGTGATATGCCGGACATACACCCAGAAGTGATGGAGCATAAGCTCGATGTGGACCGAAGGTTCAGACCGGTAAGGCAGAAGAAGCGCAACTTCTCCACAGAAAAAATTGAAACCATTCAAGCAGAAGTCAACAAGCTGTTAACGGCAGGATTTATAGAACCGTGTACTTATCCAGAATGGTTGGCAAATGTTGTAATGGTTAGAAAGCCAACCGGGAAATGGCGGATGTGCGTGGATTTTACGGATCTGAATAAATCTTGCCCTAAGGACTGTTATCCGTTACCTCGGATAGACAGGTTGGTAGATTCGACTTCTGGCCATGAAATGCTAAGCTTCTTAGATGCATTTTCTGGATATCATCAGGTTAGTCTTAATGAAGTTGATAGGCCTAAAACGGCTTTTATAACAGATGCCGGGGTATATTTCTACAAGGCAATGTCGTTTGGGTTGAAGAATGTTGGTGCAACATATCAAAAGCTGGTTGATAAAATTTTTGCAAATCAGAAGGGCCGTAATGTTGAAGTATATGTAGATGATACAATAGTAAAAAGCAAGCTGAAAAAAGATCACATAGAGGATTTAAAGGAGACCTTTGCAACTTTGCGGCAATATCAGATGAAGCTCAATCCAGAAAAATGTGTTTTCGGAGTCCGATCTGGAAAGTTCTTAGGATTTATGGTTAGCGAGCGAGGCATTGATGCAAATCCAGATAAGATTAATGCTCTTCTCGAAATGAAACAACCTAAATCAATTCGAGACATTCAGAGATTGACAGGAAGAATGGCAGCCTTGACGCGCTTCATCAGCAAATCGGCAGATAAAGCACTTCCGTTTTTTGTAGTTTTACGGCAAAACAAGACATTTGAATGGGGGAAAGATCAAGCTGATGCTCTAGAGGTGGTAAGAAACCATTTAGTCTCTCCCAACAGTTGCACGACCAGAGCCGGGAGAATACTTACAGTTATACTTTATCAATCATGTCCTTAATGCTGCTGAGCGACGATATCCAGTGATTGAAAAAATTGCCTTTGCTGTCG